CTCATTCTCCTAAACTCCAGTGAGTACAGGCCCAATCTACTCAACCTGTCCTCGTAAGACAGTCCTTCCATATCTGATATCAGCTGAGTGAACCTTCTCTGGACTGTATCTGATGTGAGTATACCCTGATGGGATCTATCCCAGAATATTGGGAGGCCAGAGAACAATGCTGGAGCAATGGCAGACATTTTTGTATCCTCGTTGGCCGCAAGTGAGGTCCCAGAGGGCTGGAGAATAGCTAATGTTGTCCCATTGTTTAAGAGGGGTAGAAGGGATAATCCAGAAAATTACATCAGTGGTCGGGAAATTGTTGGAAAAGATTCTCCGGGACAAGATCTATAAGTATTTAGAAGCAAATAGACTGATTAGCGATAGACAGCATGGTTTCGTGTGGGGAGGTCATTAACTCACTAACTTGATCGAGTTTTTTGAGGAGGTGACGAAGATGATCGATGACGGAAAAGCGGTTGATGTTGTCTACGTGGACTTCAGTAAGGCCTTTGACAGAGTGCCTCATGGCAGACTGGTACAAAAGGTATCAGGGGTGAGCTGGCAAGATGGTTACAGAACTGGTTTAGTCATAGGAGACAGAGGGTAGCAATAGAAGGATGCTTTTTGGAATGGGGGGCTGTGACTAGTGGTCTTCCACAGGGACCAGTGCTAGGACCTCTGCTATTTGTGATCTACATAAATGATTTGGAGGAAAACATAGCTGGTCTAATTAGTAAGTTTGCAGATGATACAAAGATTGGTGGAGTTGCAAATTGTGAGGATTGTCAGAAGATACAGCAGGATATAGATCAGTTGAAGGCATGGGCAGAAAAATGGAAGATGGAGTTTAATCCAGACAAATGTGAGGTGATGCATTTTGGAAAGTCAAGTACAGGTGGAAATTATACAGTGAATGACAGAACCCTTAGGAGTATTGATATGCAGAGGGATCTGGATGTGCAGGTCCACAGATCACTGAAGGTGGCAGTGCAGGTAGATAAGGCATGCTTACCTTCATTGGGAGGGGCATTGAGTACAAGGATGGACAAGTTATGCTGCAGCTTTAGAACTTTAGTCAGGCCACACTTCGAATATTGCTTACAGTTCTGGTCACCGCACTACCAGAAGGATGAGGACGCTTTGAAGAGGGTACAGAAAAGGTTTATCAGGATGTTGCCCAGTATGGGGGATTTTAGCTATGAAGAAAGGTTGGATAGACTGGATTTGTTTTCACTGGAACGCAGGAGGGTGACCTGATAAAAGTTTATAAGATTGTGAATGGCATGGATAAAGTGGAAAGTATGATGCTTTTTACCAGGTTGGAGGGGTCAATTACAAGGGGACACAGGTTCAAGGTGTGAGGGGAGAACATTTAAAAGAGATGTGCGAGACAAGTTTTCACACAAAGGGTGGTGAGTGCCTGGAACACCAGAGGAGGTGGTGGAAGCAAACACAGTAGCAGCGTTCAAGAAGCACCTGGACGAATACATGAATAGGAAGGGAAGGGATATGGATCCTGTAAGTGAGACAGTTTTAATATGGAAGGGCAAAATGTGTCGGCGCAGGCTCGAAGGCCCAAAGGGCCTGTTCCGGTGCTGTATTGTTCTTGGTCCTTTATCTTTCCTTAGATAGGAGCTCAAAACTGTTCACTGTATTGCATCTGTGGTCAGACTAGTACCTTGCATAGTTTTAGTGAAATCCCCTTGTTCCTTTGTTACTCCATTCACTTTGAAATAAAGGCCAATAACCCACTGAGCTCTATGCTAGCTTTTGGTGTTTCACAGACAAGGACTCTCAAATCCCTCTGCACTGGAACTTTCTGCAGTCTTTCTCCATTTGAATCATATTCCAGTGCTCTATACTTCCTGACATAGTGCATAACTTCACATTTTTCCACATTGTTTCAAATGCTAAGTCTTTGCCCACTTGCTTAACCTGTTTCTATCTCTCTGCAGACTCCTTGTGTCATCCCAACCAACTGCCTTCCCACTTATTTTTGTGTCACGTAAGACTTCAATAATCCTTCCTCCTGTACTCAAACCCTCTTTCAATGAAGCCCAACATACCTTTGCCTTCCTAACTACTTGCTGGAGCTGAATGCATGCTTCCAATAACTGGTGTGCAAGGACCCCCTGGATCCCTTGTACATTGGCAAATGCCAATCTATCAGTCCTCAAATAACACTCTGCTGTTATGCTTTCCTAAACAGCATGTCCCCTTGGCTGTTTTCAGGAGGTTTTCTCCTTAAGTGCACAATGAAGAAGATCTCGAAATGTCAACAAAATCCTCCATGTGACAAGGCGAGGCTTATGAAGCAGTCATGAGAATAAAAAAAATCCTTGTGTCAACCTCATGCAGCTGGCCAGAAAACTGAATCCACCAACCCCCCAGATTGAATCACTGAGCCGTCTTGAGTATTTCTCCCCTTCTCTCCACCTGTGGCAGGTGGATGACCAACTAAGCTGATAGCAGGGTTCCTTATCAGAGCCTCTGAAATGTGCACCAAGAATGTGTAGATTTCTGTTTGAGGTTTGTACAGTCCACTCCGGTCCTACCACTTCCCTGACAGCTGGCATCTAAACACAGTTACTGAGTGAGTAAATTTATGGTCCAAAGTTTTGCCTCAATACAGGAAGCATCAGATGCGTCTTTCTTGTGCTGCACTGTCTGGGCAGGAGGATTGCCGCTTGTTTATTTCCACGCAGATACTAACCATATCAACCAATGGCTGCTTGTAAAACTCAGAACCTTAGGTGCAGTTTCATACAATAGCATCGTGTAATTTCACAATTGGACAAAGCAACCCTAATTACACTAAGAATTACACTAGCAATCAATTTAAGATTATTGGTCCAATTTCAGTGCTTATCCTTGATGAAAGTTATATATATTTCCACACAGAACCTTGCACCCTGCATACAGTAGCAACGTGTCCAGACATTGCAACCTGTCCAAATAAACAAAAGCTTGGGATCGACTATTCCCCAGGGCTCTGTAGCAAAGCCTCAATCAATCAGCATCCTTTTTTCCAGTATATATTGATGTTCCCTTTGAGATTTGGTATTCTTGCAATTTGGTCCTGATGAGTTTAAGACAGAAAGCTTTAACAACATGCCTCTTTATCTCAATAACACTTCAGGATCCCAGTGGAGAAGAAAATTTATTTAAGGCAGCATATTGTGATCTGGAACACGCTGCCTGAAAGGACAGTGGAAGCAGTCTCAATGGGACCTTCCAAAAGGCAATTGGAGAAATGGATGGAATTTGCTGAGATCTGGGAAGAGTGCAGAAGGGAGTGGGACTAATCGGGCTGCTCTCTCCAAGAGTCAGCACAGATATGATGGGCTAAATGATCTTCTGCATTCTTGTTATTGTGTGATCTGAGAATGCCCCTGTGGTAACTTTGCCATTTGAAGTTCCAACAAACTCATCAAGACCATTTCATCAGTAGAATAAATGTATCACTGATGAGTTTAATAATGAGTTAAGGGCTGATTTGGAAAAAAAATGTTTATAATGACGAGGAAGGTCTTTGTTTATAAAAACACATCTCCAAAGAGAATTTAATTGAAATTTTATGAGCTCTTTAAGAACTTTTTGATTTGAAAAGAGATTTTAATTTCTCCTTGCAAACTATAACTCATACTACATTAACTTGGCATTTTCATCCTCGCCCCTACATTAATACGTAATGATGGTAAGAGATCAAATTAGGCTTTTGAAATCAAAGGAGAAAAGACTTGATTAAAGCTGATTTGATGGTTCATGAATACTTTGATGTCCATTTAGGTTGGAGCCTTTGTATAATTTATGAAGTTGTAGCAAAACACACCACAAAGTGAGGGAGCCAATATAGCCAATTATGGGCCTAATGAAAAGACTGCTTATCTCTGAGAATTAAGCGCTGACCAGACAAAAGACATCATTAAGTATTCAGGTTCATTTATTTGCATTAATTGTAGATTTATAGAAAAGCAGAAACAAATTTATTTTGCAAATTTGCTTATTTGTAGATGGGCTTAGCAAATTTGTTAATACCTTTCATATAGGTTTTTGCAAGTTGACACAAGATGCAGTCTTGGGAACAGTGATCATTCCCCCTGTCCATTTGGTGCTACCTCTTTCAAAGTGGAACCAGCTTAGTCCTGCTCTCTCACTCTTCTTCACACCCCAGCAATTTTTTTTTCCTCCATCAATTATTGGCCATGTTCCCTTTTTGAAAGTTGCTAATTAATTTCTATAGCCTGACCGTAAATTCCAAAGGTTGGGAAGGGATTGTAGCAGTGGTTCATAGAACTGTAGAATCCCTACAGTGTGGAAGCAGGCTATTCGGCCCATCCCGTCCACACAGGCCCACCTCATCCCTGTAACCCTGCATTCCTTATGGCTAACCCGCCTAGCCTGCACATCCTTGGACATTATGGGCAATTTAGAATGGCCAATCCACTAACCTCTACATCGTTGGACTGTGGGAGGAAACCGGAACACCCGGAGGAAACCCACGCAGACACAGAGAATGTGCAGGGAGAATTCCTTCAGTGCTGAAGCGAGAGTGTTAACCTCTGTATTTTTGCTCTTGCCCATGGAGTAGAAAGTGTTCCCCTGACCCACTTGTACAGAGATATGAGCAAAAGATGCTGAGGCATAGAAACACAGGAACAGGAATGGGCCATTCAGCCCCTTGAGCCTGTTCCACAGCTGAGATTGGAGTGGGCATGGAGAAATGGCTGGGCAGGTGCTTGATGAGAGTTTCAAGTGCAGTTTGCTGTTCTGTGCAGCGACATTAGACGGAGGTGAATGAGCAGAATGGGAGCAATCTGCTGCAGGAATTGTCCACAACATGGTAGAGATTCACGGAATAAATAGGCTGGATGGCTGCCTCATAAAGAGGCTGAGTGTTATTTACAAATTAGTGAAGATTGCTTTCTTCTACCATTTTCTTCATCCATCTACATGGAAAGCTGGATCGTTTGAACTTCTCATCGAAAATATGGCACCTTCAAAGAAACATGGAAGAATTTGTAAACTGTGAGGAGCACAGTGTGGAATTCCGAAAGGACATTGACACATTGGTGGAGTGGGCAGATAGGTGGCACATGAGGTTCGATGCAGTAATATGTGAAGTGAAGTACTTTGGTTGGAAGAACGTTGAAAGACAAAATCTGGGGTACAATCTAAATGGGGGTGCAGGAGCAGAGGGCCCTTTGAATATTTTTGTGCACAGATCATTGAACATGGCAGCAGTAAATAAAACATACAGTATCCTTGTCTTTATTAATAGGGGTTTGTTGAACTTGTATAAGATGCTAGTTAGGTCTCAGCTAGTGTATTGTGTACATTTGTGGATGCATTGGAGAGAGAGTGCAGAAGCAGTTTACTTAAATGGCTCCAGGGATGAAAAACCTTAGTGATGAGGATAGATTGAAGAACTTGAGACTGTTTATCTTGCAGAGAAAAGGTTGAGAGCCAATTTGATAGAGATTTTTCAAAATCATGAGTGGGCTGCTCAGAGTAGATAGGGAGAAATTGTTCCCATTTGTAAAAGAATCAACGAGAGTTCGTAGGTTTATCCTATTATCAACATCGTTGGGGGTTATCATTGACCAGAAACTGAACTGGATTTGCCACAGTTGGCTACAAGAGCAGGTCAGAGGCTAGGAATACTGCAGCAAGTATCTCATCTCTTGACTCCCCAAAGCCTGCCCACCATCTACAAGGCACAAGTCAGGAGTGTGATGGAATACTCCCCACTTGCCTGAAAGAGTGCAACTCCAACAATACTAAAGAAGCTTGACACTATCCAGGACAAAGCAGCCTGCTTGATTTGTACCCCACCCACCACCTTAAGTATCCACTCCTGCCACCACTGACACTCAGTAGCAGCAGTGTGTACCATCTGCAATATGCGCTACTGAACAAATACGCCAAGCTCCTTCAACAGCACCTTCCAAATCCATGGCCACTTCCATCCAGAAGGACAAGGGCAGCAGATACAGAGTTATAGAGATCTAATTTTTTTGTCAGAGTGCATTCATCCCACTAAAAATGGCATTTAATTTTAAAATTCCTGACCCCTCTGCTACAAGGCATTTATTACCGTTCTTAATGCTGACTTAGCCTCCATTATTCCCTAACAGATAAGCTATTTCCCGTAAGCAGTTGCAACGTGAATTATTTAGTTTAGTTTGGCTGTGGCTCTATTCTGGTGACTTGAAACATGAATGACACAAATGTCCGTGTCAGGATTGCTTCGCTGTTTAATGAGGCTATTGAGTGTGACACATCAGGCATGAGAGAAGCTGAGGGGCTGGGGATCTCCAAACAACAAGAGATTGGTTTGGCAATTGGATACCATTCCCTTCCCTCAGATATGAAAGGGTCCCCCTGCTCTCGACAATTGTGCTCTTAGCACAATTGCACAATTCTTTAAATGTGTTTCAGCAATGGGAAAGCAGCCAACATGGAACGTATTTAGAGGTTTTTCTTTGCAGAAACAGTCATATTTACTCTTTGTAAGCCTGTCAAATATCAATCAAATCTGACTCCCCCTCAAACTACAATTTGCTAAATCTTAAATCAGGTTTTCACTCCAGTAACTAAACCCTATCGAGTTCACAAATAATTCCTGGGACTGTGACAAAAATAACCTTTCCTCCTCACCCTTCCAGTTTTGTCCACAGCCTTTGACACAGTGACCACCCCGACCTCTTCCGATACACCCACACTACGCTCCTGCCCTCCTTCAACCCAGTACTGCTGTCCATGTGGGAGGCACTGCTCCCACCTGGTCCTGTTCATATCCATCTGTCACATCCAGAGAATTGCTAGCAATGGTTTTTTTCTAAACTGGGTCAATGATGTCCTGTTGGCTATCAGCAGCAGCAGAACAAAATCTGTATTCTCATGGCCTGGTGTATCCCTCACTCTACCATTACCATCAAGCTGGGAGACAGCTCCGGCTAAGAGAGGTGTTCAGGAGAAAAGATCCGGATTCAAGTCCCACCTGCTCCGGAGGTTGGACCACAATATCTCTGAACTGAGATAACAAGGTGTAGAGCTGGATGAACACA